AATAATTTATTAAAAAATTTTTTATTTTCAATATTTTCATTATAAAAAATGTTTACCTATTTTCTATCCAAAAAACTTCCATACTATCTGTATCACTTGATGATTCTGTATCAGTTACACTTGTTTTGAGAAATTTGTTTGAATGCATTTCATGAAATAGGGAATCTGAAAATAATAACTCGATAATTTTATTTAAGCCAAATTAATATCACTTTCATTAGTAAAATGGCGTAAAGTTACAAAAGAATTATTTTATCAAAAATATTTTTGTGTGAAATTGAGATGGTTTATTTTTAAATAAAATTAACTCCAATAATTTTTCTTTCTTTTTTTATATTTATTATTTATTAACTTAAAAATAAAAGTCAAACAATATGACTTTACCAAGATTTGCTAATTTTTTTTTTTTTTTAGAAAAATACAAGTAGGTTTAATTTTTTTTTTTATACAAATTTTGATTATTTTTTAAAATGCAAAAAATTATTTAAAATAAAATGATTAGTAATTTTTTTTCTTTAATTAAGGTTTTAAATAATTAATGCATTTATAAAACAAAAAAAATTAGGTATATACAGAAATATTAAAATCTTAAAATCATATTTGCAGATAAAAAATTATAAAAAAATATTTACATTTTAACACATATTTTCAGTCTTATAATACAATAATTAAAATTCATGTATTACTATTCTATTTAAATGTAATTTAGGCATTTATGGAAAAATTAAAAAAAAAATTACCTGTCGTAATGTTAGTGTCCATACTTATATCGTCTAAGAGTAAATCATTGAGATCTTCATGATTCATTACTTGTTGATAATCTTCGGCTTGTTGTAATATTTTTAAAGTATCATGATTAGTAATAGGAATAAATTCTTCTTCAGAATTTAATAATTGACCTTAAATGATAATTTTAAAAACTATTAAAAAATCTTTAAAAAATAAAAAAAACTAATATATTTAAATTAATGTATTGTAAATCTAATTATTATAAAATAATAATTTTACCATAATTTTTCTTAAAATTTAATGATATTTTCCAATAAATAGGCACCAAAAAATGACTAATCAATACAGGTACTATCATAAATACAATAACAAATGTATGAAGAGACTGTAAATTTGATATATATTGGTCTATTTTAATAATACTTAAAAAGAAAATACAGCTAAACAAGCAGAACTAAAAAAAAAAAAATTTTAGGATTGAAATTATGTACATTACATAATTAAATTACAAAAATTTGTTAGGAACATAAAATTATACATATAAAAAATATATACTTGCCATTCCAGGCTCTTCTTGTCTAAGATGTTTCATATATTTAATAATACTTTTAATTTTAGTTTTCAGTTCAATCCAAGTCAAACTACACTGGTTCTGTTTATCGGATCTATAGAAAATAGGCACAAATATGAAAAAAGTTTTTTTTTTTATAAGTTTTATGAGCAATCTTTATACTTACTGATAGCTTGATTTTACTTGAAAAATATTGAATTTTGAAATGTAGTTAATAAATAAATAAGAAATAATGTTTTCACCTATCTGATAAATCGTTAAAAATAAAAATATCAAAAATATGACTCCATAAAACTTGAGTTTGAAATTAATTATAACCCTAAAATTATAATCAGGAGTAATATTTATGTTTATAAAATGATTCCTTATTAAAATTTTAAAAAAAAGCATAGAAATTAAAATAGATTTGGTTATTACCAAAACATTCCAATCATAAAGGTAATATAAATAGAAGAAATAAAAACATTTTCCCAGGTCATTATTTATATAATTACATTAAAACTAATTACCAATAATTAAAATTAAAACTAAATTTTAGTCATGAATAATAAAAAAAATATAAAATATCGTAGTATTCCAAAAACATTTTTTTTCCCCCCTATTTATCAAGACGAATTAAATTCGGTCATATTTAATCTGTTATAACCCATTATAAATTAAAAAAAAAAAAAAAAACGACCACATTAAAATTAAATATAATATTTTTTTAATTATAATAATATCACAATTGTGTATTTATATTAAAACTTTAAGGACATCGTCTCAATTCCAGTCTTGCCACTCCATAAATTAAAATTTAGTACTAAAATAATCGAATTAATAAAAAAAAATTTTTTAATTATAAATATCATTACAAAATTTCAGTCTATTAATAATAAACACGCAGGTATTTTATAAATAGACATTAATTTACGTTAAAATAACTGAAAAATTTTTAATTTCTTTATTTCGCGCCAAAAAAAAAACAACCATTTATTAGCGTTACCTGTCGAGTAAATAAGAAACTAAAACCGATTGTTTTGTTAATATCGCTTCACAGTAAAGTTATTTCACTGTAATAGTTTGATGTAGCGTCGCGTCTCTGTGTTGTGGGGGAAAGTTATTTATTAAGTCTGATTATTAAAATGCCTTTCGGTTTGTTTACCTATAAAATTTTGTAAATTCAAGTTAATTGTACAATATGTCATTTGTCGAGTTTACGGCTACCTTTTCTAATATCGATGACGATGAATTTAAAGTAATTTTTTAAAATTTAATCTTTCTGTCATAATATTAATATGCCAGGTGGTCGTGTTTTGTTTATAAGCAATATGGCGGAAACATAGTGAAGAGTATATTTTATTGAATAAGTTTAATGTATAATGAAAGATTTAAATACTTTCAAAAAGTGATTTTATAAAAAAGTGCCTTTTTTTATCAAAGTGTTTTTGTTCGTGAAATTTATTTCAGTAGTTTTCTCGTTTTTTTCTCTACTTGGATTATGAAGGTTACAGTATGTTTTGGTCCAGTTAGAGTTGTAGTGCCTTGCGGAGATGGATTCATTACGGTGCGTGATCTTATACGTCAAGCAACACTTCGTTATAAAAAAGCAACAGGAAAAGTAAGTACATAAATTCATTGTAACAAACAAAGTTCTTCCCTAACATGTTAACAAGGAAAAGGTTCATTCACTTTTACTGTTGTTGTAAGTAAAACAAGTGAAATTTTTATTTTTTGCTCATTCCTTTATTAGAAACAGCATCAAAAGTTCTAATAGTGAAACCAATATCTTGTAAGTACTCTAAAGTCATTATCTTGAATAAATCTACACTTTTACATTTTTGACATTCTCCATAATATTATGTAATAACTAATGATAAATTTTTACACGAGTGAATCAAAATTATCAGCCTTGTAATTCGATAAAATATTTTAAAATCATAATTTCTGTGTAACTCATTACTATTTGTTAAATACTTGAATTATTTTTCTCCTTAAAGACATATCAAGTTTTATTCTGCTTTTTTCTGTTTTAAACATTTTTTAAATACATTATTTATAAGAATATAATATTAGATTATAGAAAATTAGCTAAATCAAACTTAATAAAAGTTAGAAAAAATACATCTTATAAACAGAACATGACTGAACTTAAATTTATGAATGGCATTTCTTCGACCCTAATAATCACCATTAATATTTCTGTCATTATTTATGTTTCATATTACATAATAAATTTAAACTTTTTCTTACTGTGTGCTGTTCTTATATAGTTAAGAAATGAACTATTAAAAATGTTATTTATTTTTATAATTTTTTCTGAGCAAATCGGTTTTTAAAACATTAAATATATTATAAATCGAAGAAGCAGTTTTGAAAATGTACTCGAAACTACATTTTACTCGATAATATTTCTAAGTTTTATAGAATAACTTTTAATGTGATTCTTGGTTAATAATGCATTATCATAAAATACTTTTTAAAAAAAAATTAAATATGATTCTAAATAAAAATGTATATTTATGAAATGTAAGAAGGGTAAAAATAAATGAAAAAGTAAAAATTTTAAAAGTTTGTTTTTCAAAATAAAATAAGGATTTAATATATTTTTCATTATTTTAATAAAATACATTAGAAAAATTTATATTTACGTGCACAAATACATGTTTAAATGAAACACAACAAAGCATTTATTTTACAAAAACAGGTGTGGTTTTTACATATCCACCGAGAGTGATATAAAACATTATTATTTTAAAATAATTTATAAGTAAATTTATTATTGTATTGTTGTGATACCGGTTATAATTTCTTAATACTTATCAGGTACAGATTATTAAAAATACAAACACGTCAAAGTTTTTTATTTGACGAGTTAGGCTATACGCATTCCAATATAAGTGACGTTTCATCTTGGCTCATGCGTCATAATAAATGGTATTAGTCATTTTTTCTTTTTTTTTTTTTTTCTCTAAAAAAATAATGAATAATTCAC